GTCAAGGTCGGGAATAAAGTCAACACAAAACTCAATGACCTCCTCTGTTCCATAGCCCTTGGTGATGCTTCCTTCTGGCCGAGCACAGTTGTGAACATATTTCTTTAGGACTCCCATGAACCTCTCAAAGGGGAACATGTTGTGCAGGAACATAGGACCGAGAATGCTAATCTCCTTGACCAGGTGAACTAGAAGGTGTCTCATGATATTAAAGCAGGAAGGAGGGAACACCAACTCAAAGCTGACAAGACATTGAACCACATTATTCTGTAGTTTAGCTAGATTCATTGGATCGATTGCCTTCTGAGAAATTGCATTGAGGAATGCACATAGCTTCACGGTGGCTAGACGTACATTTGGAGGTAGAATTCCTCTTAATGCAACTGGAAGCAATTACGTCATGAGCACGTGGCAGTCATGGGACTTTAAGTTTAGGAATTTCTTCTCTGGCACATTTATTATACCCATTATATTCGAGGAGAATCCAGATGGTACCTTGATGATTGCAAGGCATTCAAACATGCTTTCCTTCTCTTCTTTGCTAAGAGTGTAGCTGGCAGGACTTAAGTAATGGCGTCCATCATCTATCTTCTCTGGATGTAGGTTGTCTCGTTCTTTCAAACACCGCAGGTCCTATCATGCTTCAAGTGTGTCCTTAGGCTTCCCATACACACCCATGAAGCCTAGCAGGTTCACACAAAGATTCTTCATCAGGTGCATCACGTCGATCGCGCTATGAACCTCTAGGACTTACCAATAGGGTAGCTCCCAAAATATGGACTTCTTCTTCCACATGGGTGCGTGACCGTCGGCGTCGTTCGGAACAGGTTCGCTGCCATGTGCCTTTCCAAATACTACTTTCACATCCTTGACCATATTGAGTACATCCTCTCTAGTTCGATTGCTCGGCTTGGTCCGGTGGTCTGCCTTACCTTTAAAATGCTTGCCTTTCTTTCTTAGGGGGTGATTCGCATGAAGAAATCGACGATGGCCAAGGTACACGACCTTTCGACATTTTTTCAAGAATATACCTTTAATGTCATCCAAACAGTGCGTGCTTGCATTATATCCCTTGTTTAATTGTCCTGAAAGATTACCTAGAGTAGACCAATCATTGATTGTTATGAACAACAATGCTCGTAGGTCAAAGTGCTCCTGTTTGTGCTCATCCCACACACGTACACCTAGTCTGTTCCACAAAAGTAGAAGTTCTTCAACTAGTGGCCTCAGGTACACATTGATGTCGTTGCCAGGTTGCCTTGGACCTTGGATGAGCACTGGCATCATAAAAAACTTACGCTTCATGCATAACCAGGGAGGAAGGTTGTAGATATATAGAGTAACAGGCCAAGTGCTATGACTACTGCTCTGCTCCTCGAAAGGATTCATACCATCTATACTTAAAGCAAACCTTAAGTTTCTTGCGTCATTTGCAAACTCTGGGAATTCTCTATCGATTGCTCTCCACTGGGACCCATCAGCAGGGTGTCTCAACATATTGTCTACCTTACGGTCTTCTTTGTGCCATCGCAACAACTTTGCATGGTCTTTGTTTCTGAACAGACGCTTCAAGCGTGGTATTATAGGAGCATACCACATAATCTTGGCAGGGATTTTCTTCGTGGTACGTTCACCCTCAACATCACCAGGGTCATCTCGCCTGATCTTATACCGTGATGCATGACATACCGGGCATGCATCTAACTTCTCGTACTCCTCACCACGGTAGAGGATGCAGTCATTAGGACATGCATGTATCTTCTAGATTTTTAATCCCAAAGGGCAGACTACCTATTTTGCTTCGTACGTAGTGACAGGCAATTCGTTATCCTTCAAAAGCATCTTCTTTTGGATTTTCAGTAACTCCCCAAATCCCTTGTCAGATACACCATTCTTTGCCTTCCATTGCAGCAATTCCAGTGTGGTACCCAACTTTTTCTGTCCCGCATCACAAGTTGGGTATAGTAATTTCTTGTGATCCTCTAGCATGCACTCGAACTTGATCTTCTCCTTTTCACTTTCGCATTCTCTTTGTGCGTCACGAATGGCCTGGCCAAGATCATCAGTGGGCTCATCTTCTGCCACTACCTTTTCTTCAGCTTCCCCCATTGCAGTATCATTGAAGGCACCATATTCAGCAATAATGTCATCATCGTCCCATTGTTCTTCACCTTCTTTTATTACAACCCCGGTTTCTCCGTGCTTCGTCCAACAAATATAGTTTGGCATGAAACCCGGCTTCAACAAGTGTGAATGAAGACTCCTTGAGCTAGCATATTCCTTCAAATTCTTACATATGGCACATGGGCAGCATATGAAACCATGGCGTTTGTTTGCCTCGGCCACACATAAGAAAGAATGCACGCCCTCAATGAACTCTTAGGATTGGCGATCAGCATTGTACATCCAATGCCGGCTCATCTACATTACATGACATACATACCATATTAAAACCTAGAACATAATTAGTTAATTATACGATATGCATGCCACCACACAAGGTATTAATTTATGAAAATCTCGCTACAATGTAGACAATCCCAACTACCAGTAAAAAAACTAAAGCTAAAATGCACTTCAGCAGCATAAGGATTTCACGACCAATTCCAACTAAAACAGACAGATCATGCGTTTGTTCAACATCTATGGGCTTCTTCCGCAGGATCACTGTCTCATCAGCCGCCGTAGCCGCATGTGCAAGAGAGTTTTGCACGTGTTCAACATACTCTTCCTCCCAGTACCAGCCTGAACATCCAGTGCCATCCCACTGAAATTAAAACAAAAAATTAGAACTTTAATCACAATCATCATGAAAATAAGTATAAATTAACCATAATCATCAAATGCGACAAAATAACTCACATTGCGATACGAACACTTGTAGAAGATACGGCCTTTGTTGGGACACTCATTCCTCACCCGGTACTCCATCACAATCTTCTCCTCACACTTGCCCATGCAATGAGAGGGAGATCCGGCCTCAATCGCTTTTGGAACCCGATGAGAGGCCGAGGACTCAGAAGCAGTTGCTATCTACTCTCTATACTCATTTTTAATATAATATAAATTTCTCATTTTATAAACAAATAAAATTAAAAAAACTCTAAAATTCTCTATATCTCTAAACCATGAAGTTTGCTATGCATGCTAGAAATGAAAGCTTAATACTAGTTTTGAATAACTACTTTAACCTTCCTTCACCCAAATATACAAACTTTAAAGTGATTTTGAGCTTAAATGACTTACAAATAAAAAAAATTCCACCATAAAAAACCACATATATCTAGTCTACAGAATGAGATATGCTACTGATAAAATATGAGAGTATAAAGTTGGTAACCTTTATAACCGAAGAATAAATGGAGGAATCGAACAAAATCTTGTGATTACCGACGATGAGGAAGAAGAGAGGCCGGCGATGAAGCAAGAAAACACTGAGCTCGAAGTGGCTCGGGCTCGGGGAGGAAGAAAGGCTATATAGGAGGGGAACTGTAGTCCCGGTTCGAGACAGAAACCGGGACTAAAGGTCCCTTTCTAGTCCCGGACGGAGCCTCCAGCCGGGAGTAAACTTTTACTCCTGGTTGGAGGTACCAACCGAGAGTAAAAGTTAACCTTTAGTCCCGGTTGGAAGCTCCAACCGGGACTAAAGGTCCCCTGCAGCAAAAGCCTATCGCAGTAGTCGTTGGGCATGGACCTTTAGTCTCGGTTGAGCTACAAACCGGGACTAAAGGTCTCTCTACTCCCGGGCGCAAAAAATACCAGGACTAAAGCCAAATTTCGAGGCGGGATCAAAGTCGTTTCTCTCCTTAGTGAATAGAATGTCATTGCGAATGGCCTCGCTGAAAATGCTTTTTGCTATAGTTATATACTTTTCTCTGCAACAATTACGAATTCATGCATGGTGCAAAGAGTTATCAACATATGCAAATATATCGTTCACTCAAGGAGCCATCCTGACTAACATTATTGAACCAAAAACAAAAGTTTAGTTCGACCATTTTGAGTTCGTGAACGGAGGAAAGCGTGTGTGCCTGTGCCCTAGGCCCTCCTGCATCTGCATGGGTCGAACTGTGTTCGTCTGCACAGGAAACAGAAAGGCCACTGGTCTAGCTAGTTAGCTACTAGTCATTACTGTTGCGTTCCCCCTGTATACATGTAAGCATCATGGTTTCCTGTCTTGTGTTATATTTGTTCGAGTTCATAAAACACAAGAACACTGTAATATGTCTTTCTCGTCCTCCAATCATATGTATGCTTTATTTGGCACAGCTCTATTTCACTGGTGTAGCTTTTTTTTTTTAGCTTCGGCTCCACGAGCTTTACGAGTAAAGTTAGAGCTGTTCTTGTGAACCGTTTGACAAAACTAACTCAACATGCACACCTCCTTAAAACATATTTTCACAGAATCCCAGCCTAGCTCCATCTCTCATCCAACCTTTTTCGAGAGCATGTTTGAAGGAGGTATGTTTTATTTTAACCGATGGAGGAACTATCCAAACGGGATCATAATGGTTGCGTGGAAACACTGCATTGTATACAATGGTTGCCTGAAAATACAAATTCAAGGAAAATAGGTAGGCGAAATGAAGAGTTTGTGTCACGCATCTCTTCCCGTCGCTGCGTGTGTTTCTCTCTCCAAAACAACCATGGCGTGACTTGTAGCACCGAAACAGCAAGGGGCCTGATGAGGCGTCGCCCAGAGTGGCAGAGCCATGCCACTAGCGGACAAGCAACAGGCCAAGAGTTTTAATACTGACCAACGGACACACACAACACGATGGAGCACTCTCTCTCCTCCCCCGCTGCCTTTTTAACCACCCCTGCAGCAGCAGCCTCCCTCCACTCGCTCATCTCACACTCCTCAGTCCTCACTCAACCACTGCCTCCAGCTCCGGCAGCTAGCTCAGCTCGATCGTCCTCCCGATCCACCCGGCCCCGTGCTCCATCTCGCTCCAATCACGAGCTAGCTTGAGCGGCGGCAAACGGCCGGCACGAAGGAGATGATGAGCGGGAGGCTGAACGTGGCCACGTCCGCCTTGCCGGGCGACGACTTCCCGTTCGCGCCCATGCAGCAGCAGCCGCCGCCGCCCTACGTCGGGTTCGAGCACGGCGTGGCGGGCGGCGGTGGCGTCCAGCGCGGCGGTGGAGGTGTGCAGGTGCAGCAGCACCACCTCTACGACGGGCTCGACTTCGCCGCGGCGCTGCAATTCCAGCAGGAGGCGCCCCACCACCACCACCAGCTCCTGACGCTGCCGTCCAGCCTCGGCCCCATGGCGCCGCCGCCGCTGCCGATGCCGATGCCGCTGCAGATGCCCGGGATGGCCGGCGACCACGTGTACCCGGCGCTCGGGATGGTAAAGCGCGAGGGCGTCGGCGAGGACGGCGCGGCCGCCGGGAGGATCGGGCTCAACCTCGGCCGCCGCACCTACTTCTCCCCCGGGGACATGCTGGCCGTGGACCGGCTCCTGATGCGGTCCCGCCTCGGCGGAGTGTTCGGACTCGGCTTCGGCGGCGCGCACCACCAGCCCCCGCGCTGCCAGGCCGAGGGCTGCAAGGCCGACCTCTCCGGCGCCAAGCACTACCACCGCCGCCACAAGGTCTGCGAGTACCACGCCAAGGCCTCCGTAGTCGCCGCCGGCGGCAAGCAGCAGCGCTTCTGCCAGCAATGCAGCAGGTACGTACTACCTACGTCGTAGCCATAGCCCTCGTCGATCCCCCGTTCTCGCTCTCTCTTTCCCTAGCTACTAGGCCCTAAACCTCTCATTGTAGCTCACTATAGGTAGCGGCGCAAGCACATGCACACAACACGTACGGTTTTAGTGCCTCTCCATTCCTGCATCGAGCCATTGACACGGACGGACATGGTAAGCTAGCCACCGACTAGCTTGCAAACAAGCTGAAAAAGCATAGCACGTACGGAACCACCGATTGAACTTATTTGCGGACTTACGAGCTAAAATCTACGGTATTTTTCTCTTTCTCGCGTAATTAAACAGCTTCAGCGCTTGAACCGGCTTATCAGCCTGTTAGCCAGAGCCAGCCGCTGCTGGTCTACAGCTCTGCTCTCCACCACGCTGGACGGACGCTAGCTGGTCTTCCCTTTCCCTGCCCGGCCTGCTTTTCAGAGCTCGGAGAGCTGACGGACATGCGCGCTTTTGGTTCGTGTTCCTTGTCTCTTGCGGCCATGGAAGGCTGCAGTGCAGGCTCCTGCAACCATGCATGCGATGCGTATCGAAAAGCAACTTCACTTGCACAGCCACAGTCCACAGACACGACACGCCCACCAAGCTTGTTGACTGTTGCTCGATCAAGCATAAAATCAACTGAAAAAAAAACGCAAGCGTGTACGGAGTAGTAGTAGGATGCAATCATGCGATGCAAAAGCAGGTCGATCAGCTCGGTTCTTGTCGCGTTGTTGCAAACTGTAGGATGCAATCATGCAATGCAAAAGCAGGTCCACGGACCCGAGGCCTGGTTCGCTTGAACTGCTTTTCACCCGAAACAATTTATATTAATTTTTTTTTTACATAACACTATTAAATCAGCGAAACCAACGGCTTATGTACGGGCCGAACAGGGCTTTCTCTCTGGTCTTGGGATCGCTGGGGTAAATCATGAAAGAATCTCAAAGGGAAAGGCTGCGTCTGCGTAGTACTGCCTGATCTAGCTGAGCTCGCTTTGCTTTAGCTGCAGACTGGCAGTGGCTGCATGCAGTGCAGTGCAGTATCTCGGGCCAGGGCTGGGCGTATCTCAGCGCCTGCTTTACGTACTCTTTATCCCTGCATTGACCAACGCGGCCAGTGGACCAGTCGTTCACCGAGTCCAGTTCAGTTAGTTCAGTGTGATACGATACGACTGCAGCAAAGTGTATTTGATGTGTTCATCCAGCTTTTCAAGGCCGTATAGTATAGCTAACAGTATACATGTAGACGACAGAAAGCGCCTAGCTATACTGAGATTTTGTCTGTTGAATTGGTGCGTGGCTAGGTTTCACGTGCTGTCAGAGTTCGACGAGGTCAAGAGGAGCTGCCGGAAGCGGCTGGCCGAGCACAACCGCCGCCGCCGGAAGCCGGCCACCACCGCGTCATCCAAGGACGCCGCGTCGCCGCCTGCCAACAAGAAGCCCAACGGCGGCTCCATCACAAGCTCTTACTGCACTGACAACAAGAGTAAGCATATATGCATGCTTAGTTTTCATGCTTGTCCCGTACGTCTTACGATTAATCTTGTTGCCTTGACTTGACATGATATATGGATCGATCGTTGATTATATTTCACCGGAATTACATATCTGGTCTGACCTGGGCATGCAATGCAACTTGTGTGTGATGGATGGGCAGACCTGAGCACGGCCAAGTCGACCATGTCATCGAAGACGAGCAGCGTGATCAGCTGCCTGGACCAGGCCGGCAACAAGCAACTGGCGAGGCCGACGCTGACCCTCGGCGCGTCGCAGGACAAGGACCACCAGCAGCAGCTGAGCATCATGCTCCAGGTCCAAGCGGCCGGCGGCCACCACCAGGAGCAGCACTTCATAACCTCTCTGCAGGTGCACAACAATGGCGGCGGCGGTAACAACAACAACATCATCCTGCCGTGCTCCTCGGTGTGCTCCAGCGGCGCGCTGCCGTCGGCCAACGGCGAGGTCTCGGACCAGAACACCACCACTACCAACAACGGCAACGGCAACGGCAACGGTGGCAGCAGCAGCAACATGCATAACCTGTTCGAGGTGGACTTCATGTAGACCGTAGAGAGATCATCAGAGATGCAAAGCAAGCAAGCACGGGAGTACGTTCTTCTGGCAAGGTGTCCTTGGTGTGTATCAGTGTAGGTAAAAAGGAATAGGAGAGAGAGTGAGAGAGAAAAAAAAAGGTATGAAGTGAGAGGAGAAACAAGGAGGGAAAGAGAGAGAAAAGGGTGCAAGGATTCCATCCATCACGCTCCATCAGTAGCTAGCACTAGCAGCAAGCTCTGCAGGCTGTGCTGGTCTAGCAAAGGTAGCTGCTACCTCTTGTTGCAAGGTTCCATGGCCATAGCAAAGCCATGCATCCCGGAAGGCCCCCTTGCAGTGGCTCTTTCTACCTGTCCTGCGCTGCAGCTGCAGCTGCACCCATTGCAAGACTTTCTACCTTTCCATTTCAAGCGGGATGTGTCTGCTATTTCACCTTTTTTTTTTCTCTACTAGTTTTTTTTTTTACTTGTTGCAAAGGTACCGCATGAGGGTGTAGTGTGTGTGTTGTACTAATACCAGACTACCTGTTGTGTTTTACTGTCTCCAGCAATTAACAGATGAGATGACTTAGCTCCATATCAGCAAGATTTACACTGTTGCATGCAGGCCCAGACAGAATCTTTTAGAATCTTGCACCACTTCAAATTTTCGACAACGCAATCATGCAGCTAGATACACGGTCCATGTCTAGTATTTTGAAAATAAATAAAAGTGACGATGGACAGAGCTAGGTAGAGTAGAAACCATATATACATAACCATCGCAAGTTTTTACTCGGACTTATTGCATGTGAAATGTGGAGCACATCGCATTGGATCTGAGCCCCACAGATCCTGCAGTGCGGATATGATGGGGGGAGGGGTGCCCAGCATGCAGCAGCATGCATGTCCCAGCAGATCGACCGAGTTCATTGATAGTGCCCTAGAAGGCTAGAAATCGAGATCGATGGACGGATGTGAGTTACTGTTTACACCAAATTTTTTAGAAGAAAAACGCGGGAACTCGAAGCTTCAAAGATCGTGTCATCAAGGAATCCATTACATAAAGGTCGATATTAGCTGATTCAAATGCAGCACTGGAATCGGCTCTCTTCAGATAACGCCAGCAGATAACGACAAAAAGCTACGGTTGGCGTCGGAAAAAACATATCGGACTCTAAAAAAAATAAAAAGATTAAGGTCCAAGTTATCTTAAATTAGAAATGTTTTATCTTATGTCATAGATTGTAATGAGTCGTACTTAAATAGGATTCATGTTTAGGTTCCGGGTATAAATATTGGACCCCGGCTATTGTAAAAGGGGCATCCAATCAATCAATACAAATTACTTTTTTCGGCTCCGTGCCAACCCTTAGGAGTAGGAGTAGTGTAGATCTCGACGAGTTCTTCAACAAGCAGGGTTGCACCGGTCCGGCCGACCTCCGGCTTGTCTGTAAGTACCGTCATGGCTTATACTTTGGTTTGTAAGGCTGCATCGGTTAAGTTCGACCTCCACTGCGAGCTCTAGTATAAGCTAGTCATCGATCTTTATCTAGTTCAAGTACGGCTGCATCGGTTAAGTTCGACCTCCACTGCTCGAATTAGATTAAGGTCAAGTTATCGGCTCTACCTAAGGGTGGCGTCCTTCGGGTAGATCCATTAAGTTACCGATCTTGCTAATGTTTTTATTGTCAATAGTTTTTCAGCAACATCAACCTGCCCGATCAAGATCGAACTAGATCGGCCTCATATCCTTTTAGTCTGTCGTTTGCTTTGTGACAATACGATATTTCTTACTTTGAGCGACGGGTTACGTTTTATTGGCTGTTCTACATCGATTTTGATCGTGCATAGTACGTGGTTAAGGCATGTATGATCTTGAAGAGGTTTACTGGCTAGTTAAATCTGGTCTATAGTTCGCTATTATGGCTGCAACAATCCGGTCGATCCCCACTGATGGCACTTTGATTGGAGGATACTAGTTGGTAGATTTGTTCCCGATCAGGCGTGACCTTAGCTGTTTGCTATGCCTGCATCGGCTAAATAGCCGATCGTCTGCACTTTAATGCTCATGGTATGTCTTCATGATCCTGTTGAATATGAGTAGATCCATTTTCTTTAAAGATTTAATCTGTTATCTTTATTATGGCTGCCATTGATCCGGTCGAACCCCGCTGTTAAAGATGATATGTTAGGTTTGAGGAGTTGATAGGTCTGCTCGTATTGAATAGTCGAATGTTCACATGCCGTGACCCTTTTTCTACCGAAATCGGCTCTTTTAGCCGATTCGCTTGCGCCTTCACAGATATAGCATGTCTTTCAGAAACCTATCAAGGTATGGATGGTTTTGTGAATTCTTTGGCTTTAGTTTGTTGTTATCATCATAGTTGCATCGATCTGGTCGAACCTCACTGTTGATGATAGCGGATTAGATTCGGGGCGTTTGTAGAACTGTTCGTACTAGACAGTCGATTTGTTTGCATGTTATATCCTTTCTCGTTAGACTCATCGGCTCAATGCTTCATACTGGTTATATTTTTTCTAGCTGATGATTTTACTTACATCTGTGTGCACCATATTCGTCATCATAAAAATAATCACATCATGCGAGTGTTACTGTCCTTAACAGCCGATTTTCTTCTCGTGTCGGCTATTCGATCAATTTTTCCCGTCTGGCTGTTGGCCCACTGGATCACCGGTGTTGCCAACCACGACTAACGTTGTCCGACCACACACTATGACTAGAGGGAGGACAACGATAGTTCGTGGTCGGCGTCACTAGTGCGTGCTCGACAACATTAGTGAGTGGTCGGACATCTCCGTGCTGAAGGCCCGGTGGGCTAACACCGGCTGCTCCCGAAACAGCATACTTGGAACTGTCTAGGCAAGACCGGCATGTTCCACCTTAAATTACTGATAAACTTTCTCTCATTGTCAATTGTAGGTCAAATTGACTGGCATGCCCTCGGGAGGAATTCGCAGGGTCGACTGGTCCTGCGTTGAAGCTAAGCGGATCTCCAGCCTTGCTCCGTCAAGCAGATCCTTCCGGCTTGCTGTGTGCTAAGCGCATCGACACGTTTTTGCGCCGACAGTTACTCCCATGATTAATGATGTTTTTTTGGTGGTCTCTCTTTCCTGTAGCCGGCAGGCTTGTAGGATCGGATGGATCGCGAGATCCATGGATCTAGTAGCTCCAGCTCCGGATAAGACGTACAGCGAGTAAATTAACCTAGTCGATCGACCTAGGACGCGTGCATGCATGCATGCATATGCATGAGTAGGTACGTACGAGTGTACGTGCCCCGGTATTGAATACGCCGGCGATCGATCCATCCATGCATGGGTGTGGAGAAGCGAGTGGCCGGCCGGAGACATGGAGTGAGAGAGTTGAGTGCATGATGAATTATGACGTGGGCCTTGGTGGTGTTTGTTTGCCCCTTGTGAATTCAAGGCTGGCGGGGCAGGGCGTCATGCATGGCATGGCTTGCCGATTCGATCGATCGGTTGCATTGCATGCTCGATCGTCCTCCGGGCTCCGGCGATGGCTGCTAGCGAAGGCCGAGGGAGAGAGCTTGGACCACGCTGGTAGTATTAAAGAAGCGTACTTATTTCGCCTGGACCTGCATGCATCTGTGGGTGCAGATGCGGTGTACGGAAGGTCGATCCATGAGCTACTCTCTCCCTTAATCATAGGATGATCATGTGCTTTATGAATTTTTGCCTTTATGGCTGGGTTGATAATACTCATGAGATTGGGTAATAAACTGATGGGGCAACAGAAGGGGATTGCCACCAGGAGATACTCGAACACCAAATCTCATGAATCCTCCGATGTGTAACCACTTTTTATTCAAATCCATAAGGTGTGATCTCTCTAGACGCACGTACAACCATGCAGGACTACTAATGTTGAGAGAGAAAACTAAATACGTTTTTTTGCCTTTGAACTAGACATAGTTACGCCTTATATACTAATACAGAGGGAGTATTGTCGATGTTTCGAGTCACCACCGACAAGTAAATTTATAATATTACGCGTCTAGCTCGGATGGTGTGCTTAGAGAACACGAGGTTTATACTGGTTCGGGAAGAATGTCCCTACGTTCAATTCGTCGCTGTTGCTCGTGTTACTAGCACTGAAAGTTTATAGTAGGGGTTACAAACGGGCGAGAGAGGGACATGTCCCAAGTCTCTAGTGGAAAGAGTGAACGGGTGCCGAGAGCTCGGTTGCCGCTCAGCCGTGTGCTTGTGTTGTGTTCTGGTCGGTTCGAGGTTCGATGGATTTGTGATGATTCGATCGGGTCTGGCCTGGATCGATTTAATGCCAGTCCTGGGGCGTCCTGCTTTTCCTTTTATAGACCAAAGGAAAGCACGGGTTACAACGAAGGAAAAGAGAAGAAACGAGAGGGAGAGAGCGGCCTTCAAGACCGCCGGGTCCTTCTTATCCGTCATACGGGTCCCGCTGACCCTGTAGATGTTGACAGGGATGGCTCCACGTTACGGCCCTGTCTATCACTGGCGCCATGCGCAGATGTCGTCTGCCGGTCATGGCGCTCGACTCCGTCCTGGAGGACGTCGTGGTGAACTGACATGCCTGTCAGTGTTCATACGAGGGTTAGGCAGAACAGCACCACTACGCTCGACGCTGTTTCTGATGTGAGTCCTAAGGTTTGGCCCGTCGTGGCCGCGGGTTACATCAGGGCGTGCTGGTCGCCTCCCTGATGTCAGAGCTTTGACCCAGGCCCATACACTTGGACCTAGAGTGGTTGACGGCAGTATGGGTCTCCATCGGGCGAGGCGGAGCCCGCGGACTTGAGGTCGGGCGAGGCGAAGCCCGTGGCCTTGGGGTCGGGCGAGGCGGAGCCCTCTCCCAGAGGCCGCGCACGGCGGAGCCAAACCCAAGGGTCGGGCGAGACGGATCCCGAGGCCTTGGGGTCGGGCGAGGTGAAGCCCTCCCCAGAGGCCGGGCAGGCGGAGCGCAAACCCAAGGGTTGGGCAAGGCGGAGCCCATGGTCTTGGGGTCGGGCGAGGTGG